CAAGGGTGTCCAGGGGAAGCCACACCCAGGGGGCTTCTGCTTCCCAGTGTTGCCAAGGGTCACCAGCCACTCTGGAACATCACCCATGTGATTTCATGGAAACAAGAACTTTCACCAGCATCTTTAAATCACGGCGCCATGGCCAGAGAGAGTGGGAGAGTGTCCGAAGAGGTTTGCTGGTGCAAGGCCACACTTAGTGGAACATCTATGCTCATGTCTCTCCCCATAGGAACACAGCCCAAGAAGTGAGGGACCTTGCTGGAAGACTGACGGCCCTAGAGGTGAGGGACCCTACGGGAACACAGCCCCAGAGGTAAGGACCCACAGGAAGACTGACCACTCCAGAGGTGAGCGACTTTCATTATAGCAGCCCAGCCAGCCTCAGTGGTGTGCTGTTGTTGTTGTCGTTGTTATGTGCCGTCGAGTCAGACCTGACTCATAGCAACCCCTCCTTGGCTTTCCGAGGCAGTATCACTAGAGAAGTAGATTGCCTCGTCTTCCTTCCGAGGAGTGGCTGGTGGGTTTGAACCGCCCACCTTCTGGTTAGCAGTCAGGTACCTTAGGCACTGCGCCACCAGAGACCTATTGTTTACGATGATGACTTTTACCAGGGAATGCACAAGCAACGGGTGTGAGAAGGCAGCGCTGAAGGAGGACTTCGTAGGTGGAACTTTGCATGAGTTTTTCCACCATGAGATTTTGTCACCAGAAATTATGCTTTATCTAGATAGAGAAAATAATGAATTAAACCTCCTTTCTGTTTCTAGGAACTCTAATAGTATAGTGGTTAAAGCATTCACCTGCTAACCAAAAGGTGGGCTGTTTGAACGCACCAGCTGCTCCAAGGGAGAGAGATGAGGCAATTTGCTTCCATAAAGATTACAGCCTTGGAGACCCTGTGGCCAGGTCCACTCTGTCCTCTAGGGGCGCTGAGGGTCAGAATAGACTCCACGGCAGTGGGTGTGCTTTGGGCTTTGCTTCTGTGAAGATTGACAGCCTTGGAGACCCTGTGGGGCAGTTCCACTCTGTCCTCTAGGGGCACTGTGAGTCGGAATTGACTCAATAGCAGTCGGTTTGTCTGCCTCTTAAAAAAAAAAAAACTTGGAAAAGTAGTTTGTAACCTGTTTTGAATTCTTTTAGCCTAACTTTTCAAAAAGTCACCCTCTCCAGTGAGTTCTCAAGATCAACTAAATATTATCCATGAGGATGGAAATGCCATCACCAATATCCATTTTTTTCATA